AACTTCGGCCTTTTCTCATTCCGTCCTGTGGCTTTATTCTGATGTCTGACTAGCTCAGTTGGTAAAGAATCTGCCTGCAATGCAGGAGACCCGATTTGATTCCTGGCTCAGCAAGATCTGCTGAAGAGGGGAATGGCTACCCACTCCAGTATTCTTGGGCTTCCTGGGTGGCTTAGTTGGTAAAGAATCTGCCTGCAATGCAGGAGACCTGGTTTGATCCCTGGGATGGCCCCTGACGAAGGGAATGGCTACCCACTCCAGTACTCTGGCCTGGAGAAATCCATGGACTGTATAGTCCATGGGGTCGCGAAGAGTCGGACATGACTGAGTGGCTTTCACTTTCATTTTCTTGTGGCTTCACTTACATCTTAAGGTCAGTGATTACTGAAATTCTGTTTCCATTCATGCCATTCTTACTAGCTCCAAAGCCACAGGGCTACCTGCCTCCACTTGGATATCTCCACAAATCCCAACATTTAATATGTAGAAAACTTGATTCACTACCCTCTTTCTCAAATCTGCCTTTTCTGCTATGTTCCCATCATAGTGTATCAACCCTTTGAGCATCCTTGACTCCAAATTGTTGCTTAATTCCTACACTCACTCACTTAGTCAGAGACACTCTCTTCTTTGAGACCTCTTGGATCCATCCCCTTCTATGTACCTCCTTTGCCTTCTTAGCTGATGTTGACATCACCTCTCACCTGGATTGCTATAACTGGTCTCCAAAATAGTCTCTTGGCTGCCAGTCTTTCCCACCTGCAGTCCATTCCCAACACTGCTCTTTGTAATCTGGCTCCTGCCTACCTCTCCAGACTTATCTCCTATTACTTCCTCTCTAGATTCTAGATCTTAAACACGCCAGCTGAGCTGAATGGCCTCCATTGCTCTGAATGGGCCATACTTCTGTGCTTCCTGTTGTCCTCTTGGTCTGGAACACTCCCCTTCAATGTCCTTTGCCTTGAAACTTGCTTTCTGTTCTTCTTGACTCTGCTCAGTATTGCCTTTCTAGTGGATTTCCACAGCATTTCCCTGACCTTCCTATGGGATCCTTACTCTCTATCTATGCCTTTATTATTGCACTTTTCATTAGTACTGTTCTCAGAGCTGTGACTGTTACCTTACATAGCAAAAGAGACTTTGCAGATGTGATTAAATCAAGAATATTGAAATGGGGAGGTTATTCTGGATTATCTGGGCAAGTCCTAAATACAATCACAAATGTTCTTATAAAAGGGAGGTAGAAGGAGATTTGACTACAAAAGGAGGCAGTATAAACCACTTAAGCAAGATAATACATTGACAGTTTTGAGGATGAAAGAAGGGGCCACAGGCCAAAAAAGCAACTCTAAAAGCTGAAAAAGTTAAGGAAACAGGCTCTCCCCCAGAAGCTCTAAAGAACGTGTAGTCCTACTTAAATCTAGGTTTCAGAACAATGAAATATAGTGCAGACTTCTGCTCTTCATAATTGTAAGAGAATAAATATGTATTGTTTTAAGCTACCAAGGTTGTGGTCATTTGCTACAACATCAATAAGAAAGTAATATCTTGGGCCAAGTGAAGCCCAGCCCTGGGCCTCATGCTACAGAGACCTCTGCTCTATGCCTATTCCAGCTGTGGGAGTGAAGAGTCTATGTCCTCACTTCCAGACCAGGCACCATGTACCCCAAGACTCCCAAATTCCTTACTAAAGAAATTCTTCCTCAAGACCTATTTATTGAGCCTAAATGCCTCTTCCCAAAGTTGGTTCTTTTGAGACAGACTGTACTGCCAGTGGGCTCATGCTCTGATCTGAAGGATAGTCAAAGGAGCAATTATTTGTGGGATGAACCACTATATAGACAATAGACTGAAGGGCACAAGAACTGAGGCTAGGAGACCAAAGAGAAGGCTGCCACAGTAATTCAGGTAAGAGATGATGATAGAGATGGTGAGAAGTGGCTAGAGTCTAGATATATTTTAAACATAAAGGCAACAGGCATCCATGTTGGATGGGAGGTATGAAAAAAAGGGAAGGGTGTGATTCCAAGGTTTCTGCTCTGAACAACTAGAAGGATGATGTTGTCATTAATTTAGATGGTAAAGAAGGGGGAAACAGCGCTTACTGAGGTAAAGATTAGTGGCTTTATTTAAATGTATTAAATTTAGATGCCTATTACTTATCAAAGTGGGGAAGGTGTTGGATGTTGGATCTTTCTTTTTTCAAAGACTGTATGCTTCCAGTAATTATCTTAGGGTCTTAAAATAGAGGTTATTAATAGATAGGTCAAATGAACATGTGACATTCCTTCATAGAAATGTTTCAAGACGTACTCACAGTTTTGTATCCTTATATCATCAGATAGGTGAAGATCCAGCCCATTGACATTACACAGCCTGACAAGCTGTGTAAGCCAGAGATATTAACAGCCTGGTTGTTTAGTATCTTCTTGTTCTTGGCTCTTTCAAACATTTAGGGCAGGTATTGAATATTGATACCAAGTGGATTGAAGTCAGATCCATGGTCTGTCTTACTATCTTAGTCTTGAACTTTCTTAATCTGCTGATTGCAAAATTTTTCTCTGAAATTTTAACATGTATAATAATTTGACTTTGTTCCACCTCGAAATTATGTTGTTTTCCCTACCACATGTTTGGAAAGTTTACAGCCAGAGCTTTTGTTATTTCAGTCCCCTTGAATGCATTCTGGATACTAATAGGGCCTGAGAGAGTGTCTGATGTTGCTGAATAGTCTATAAAGGTTGTTCATTAGAAAATGTTCATTTGATGAATGAGCAATAATGCTGATCTTCCTGGGTCTCAATTCATAGACGCTATAAAACAATAAACCTATAAATCTTAGTGTGGTTTGTAGTGTTAAAAAGGTCACAGCTCTGTTGCAAGATATTGGAGACTAGATTGTTCATCCATTTTCTCTTGTGCATTCTGTAATCAATACCCACTCCTCCCCTCATTCTCCTGAAGTTTCTCTTGTCAAGTTCGCCAATGATAGTCACATTACAAAATCAATAGTCATTGTTTTTAATCCTCATTTCACTTACTCTCTCAGCAGGATTTGACTCAGTTGACTACTCCCTCCTGAAACACCTTTTCTCCTTTATTTTGGATCACTGTGTGCTGCTGGTGTGGTGGTTAATTTTACGTGTCAATTTGACTGGACCACAAGGTGCCCAGACATTTGGTTAAACCTTATTTTGGGTGTGTCTGTGAGGGTGTTTCTGGATAGGATTAACACTTAACTCAGTAGACTGAGTAAAGCAGATTGCCCTCCTAACTGTAGGGGGGCCTCATTGAATCAACTGAAGACCAGAAACAAACAAAAGAACCAAGTCCTGCTGCCTGATTGGCCTGAGATGGAACACTGGTCTTTTTCTGCCTTTATGTTTCTAAATGAAACAACAGTTCTTCTTGAGTCTTGAACCCGAGGGCTTTCCTGGTTCTCAGGCCTCTATACTCAGATTGGAACTACACCATCAGCACTCCTGAGTTTCCAGCTTGTTCCTATTGACTGTAGACCTTGAGACTTCTCAGCCTCCATAGTAGCATGAGACAATTCTTTATAATAAATTTCTTCATATGTATTTGTTTATTTGCTTGTAAACTATCTCCCCCACTAGAGGACAATGCTATGAGTAGAGACCTTTTGTCTATTTAGTTTGATTCTGTATTCCCAGCATTGGAACTGTGTCTAGCAGATAGTAGGCATTAAATAAGTATTTGTGAACTATATAAAATTTTTTGTCTGTGTATATTTTCCTAAGGCCCAAGGCCAGTGACTACTTGTGCTTGTGTGCATATGTCTTCACAGGTGCTCAGAATTTGTCCACATATATTATTTATCCTCACATGACCTGTAGGAAGGGAAGGAGGGAATGATTTAACTATGATTCATACCCATTGGTGGAATGGGAAAGTTTAGTTCTTGAGGTTATTAATTTAATGCCCTGTGCTTTGCAGATAAGAGTGCCTCAAAGTGGGCTGCTGGGCTTACCTTCATTTACCTCATGAACACAGTATATCTTGAGGTCTTGTCTTTGAAGAATTTATTTATTTTATAAGGCTGTGCATTTTGCTACAACACCTGGCCAGTAACAATATACTCAGTCAATATGAATTTTCAGCATTTAAAATTCTTTCCAAACTGGAAAAAAATACACCTAAAATCTGTGGCTTGAGGGTTTACAAGCGCACATGTGGTTTGGTTTCAGACATCCTTTGGAGCTTGTCTTCCAAACCCAGTAACCAATTTGTACTGATATACAAATAACCCTTTAGTGGCCTGTTAATGCTATTATGTGAGTATTCCCTTCCTGACTTCCCCAATAATCTGGATTAGGTGTTTCAATGATAATTTATGAGCAAGTGTGTATGATTTTTTACATTAAGATTTTCACAGGATGGAGATGATACATAATAAACTTTGAAAGTAAATTCACTAATAATTCATCTCTTAAATAGTAATTCTATCACCAGCCACATGCCAAAATTACATTTTTATAATGTGTTTATTTGTGTACAAAATATGTTGTAATTTACTGATGTATATGCAGCAAAGTATTCTATCACATACAACAAAAATACACTTTTTACCCCCTTCCCCCTGCCCTTGAAAATGGCAACACTGTTTTGGCAGTTCAGCAGCTAAAAATAAAGTGCTATAATTAAGCAGTATTGGAATGTCTTCACTCAACAAATGTGATGTACAATTTGAGTATACAACCACATTTTTGTTAGTTTTTTTCACAGAACAGGAAATTCCACATCCTGAATACCTCCAGAAGATACAAATATTTGTATATATATGTACACATGTATACACTGTATATGTAAAAGTGCCAACAAGCCACTTTGTCTCTGTGAGTTTATTGTGTTTATGTTTATTTTGGCTTTCCAAAATCAGTCACACTATTGGGATCTCAGAGTTCATCAGCAGGCACTGAGAAGCTCACCAGAGGCTGGCTTGTTAGGGGTGTGGTGTTGTTAGAGGGTGGAGGGAGTCATCAGACTTCACTGGGGGACCTGGAGCGGAAGGGCACTTTGGACTGGAAACAGCCACAAAACAGGAGCCACAGAGCGCGTTGGATCTCCTGGTTGCGGAAGGCATAGATGATAGGATTGATCATAGAGTTGTAGGTGGCGGGCAGCAGGGTGGCGTAGGTGTAGACATCTGGGTCTTCGTGGCTACCTACCACGCAGTAGATGGCAAAGGGCAGCCAGCTGGCACCGAAAGTGCCCAGCACCACTGCCAGCGTACCCACACCTTTTCTGGTGGCAGCAAGGTGGGGAGGCGCCAGGCAGTGCTGCTGCAGCGCGATCTGGTGTGCGTGCCGCCAGACCACCTGGCAGATGCGCACGTACAGGTGCAGCATGACGCCGAAGACCGCGAAGAAGGTGGCAGAGAGCAGCGCCACGTGGCTGCGCGTCAGCGGGCGCACCACGCTGCAAGCGGTGCGCTCCGCCAGGCAGTTCCAGCCGAGCACCGGCAGCAGCCCGAGGCCTAAGGACACAGTCCAGGTGGCAGCAAGGAGGAGGTGCACGCCCAGCAGGGTCCGTCGCGAGTAGTAGGTGAGTGCGTTATAGAGGGACAGGTAGCGGTCCACCGTGATGGCCAGCAGGCTGCTGACTGAGGCAGCGAACGAGGTCACAAGGAAGCCCACAGTGAGCAGGCTCACGGTCTCTGAGGGCACCACGTATTGGAATACGAAGTGCAGGATGAGACCGCAGCCCGCCAGCAGGTCGGCGGTGGCCAGGCTGCCCACCAGCACGAACATGGGCGTGCGCAGCGCAGGGGTAGACGCGATGAGCGCCACTACCAGGGCATTTTCGCCTGCGATCACCGTCCCAGACACGCAGAGCAGTACGTCCCATGGATTCACTGCGGACAGCAGCAGCCCCGGCGGCCCCGCTGGCAGCTGCGAAGACAACTCCAGCGACGCATTAGCTGCGCCGCCGCTCGCCAGCGCCGCCGCCGCTGCGGCTGCCGGGTGTCCCCATTCACCGGTGTCCCGCGCTCCTGCTGCGGTGGCCGCTGCCGCCGCACCCTCGGCCGCCACTGCCACCACCTGGGAGTCGTTGAGCGAAGAGACGCTCGCGTTCATCGCGGCGGGACGTTACACCCTGCGTGGAGAGGGAGAACAAGTGTCAGGTGTGCGGTTCACTCCGCCAGGGTAATTCCTCGGGCGCAGTTGCCCCGCTCGTACTGCCCATCCCGCCCCAGAGCAGAGCGAGGAAGCAGTGGTTGAGAGCCAAAAATAAATAAACACCTGTTGAGTGAGTGAGTGAGCCAGTAAGAGTGAAACGCACAAGGGATGCCGCACTGGTATCTGAGTTTTTGCACAGATAAACACACGAAGGACATGCACTCACATTCACACAGATCACGTAAGCGTGCCCGTATTTGCAATCGCATCTTGTGCACCAGACAATTATTGGCGGCCCCAGCGAGTCCTGCCCCGGCTCTGACCCGCTTGATCAGGCGCTCTCCTCAACTAAGCGGCTGGATCGCTGTCCGCGGTGCTGAAAGAGAAGTTTCCGCGCTCGGGGAGCACAGCGCACCCCGTTGGCCTCAGAGATCCCTAGGAAAGGGGTTTGTGGGGAGAGAAGCTGAAATGTCTTTTTAGGTGGAGAGTGTGGAATCAGCTTGGCTCCATTTCTCCGGGGTGAGAAGGATTCATCCCCTGGCCATCCTTCACCCCTTCCCCTCTGCACACCCTCAAAGTTCCTTTAGAGAGCCCGGTTGCTCACCTGGGGAGTCAGGGCTTCAGGAAATCGCTGATCATGAGAGCTGCGGTGTGGCGCCAGGCTGCGCTCCCCGCGCGAACCGAGCCGACTCCAGAGGAGGTGGCCGGCCCGGCACGCAGAGGAGTGCCGGGAGCTTGTCGCTGTGCCGGTGCTGCGGAGAGTGAGAGATACAGTCAGTAGAAGAAAAGGTGGCTAAGAGCAGCGCGCCCACTGGAGATTGACAGGCAGGGTGCGGTGACGTCAGGTTCCTGGCTCCAGGGTGCAAGCCAGGCACTCGCTCTCCTTGCCCGCCCGTCAGCTACCTCCCTCACCATATACCCTCCCCAAACGATGTTTCAGAGGATTCATAGAAGGAGAGGTCGGAGGGCCGCCGCCAGCTCGGAACCTCCAGGAATAGATGGGAGAAAGAGGCAAAGGAGAAAAGAGTGGAGACTAAGGGAAGGCAAGGAGGGTGAAGAGGGAGGGGCGGGGTGGGGGGTGAGGCCAGGCAGCAAGACCCGGGGCGGAGGTCACTGAGGGGGCCAGGTTGAAGAAAACGCCCTGGAGAAGAGGGAGCTTGGTGCAGAGAGGTCCAGTGAGAGAGGTGCTATCTTAAAAACAAACAAACAAAAACTTAGGGGACAGGAAGGAACTGGTGTGGAGGGGACAGTGAGGGTTTTTTAAAAGGATGTGTGTGGTACCCTTGTCAGCTGAGTAGAGCTAGAGAAGAAAAGCTGAGTTGTGGGGAACAGAGAAAAGATGGGACATTTGAGGAAAGCAATATCTTTTGAAGGTTACCTGTGCAATCAATTCTTCTCTCTCCCTCCATTTCTTCCTCTCTCTCACTATCTATCTTGAACTCTGCACAGAGGGTTTCACCATGATCTTCCCAGCCAAATGTTCCCCGATTGCACTAGCTGATAGTGCTCTTGGAACTTGCTCTTTAATTAAAGACCAGGTCTGTGTCTTGTTAGAAAAGAAGAAAACAGCAAAATGTGATTTACTTTCCTGGCAACAGACTTTGCCCTGTTAATTAGTACCCTATAAAACAAATTACAGGATGAAAATAGTGACAACTCAGCTGCACCAGACTTCAGTAGGCAGGAGTTTTATTTTCAACTTGGATAACTCATCCTTTTGGTTTAAAGGTGTTTTGTTTTGTCAGTAAAATACAAGTATTAGACTTCTCCTTCTTTTTCTTTTTTTAGTTAGCCAAAATCTCCAATAGCTGTACTTGGGGGGGGGGGGCAGGCGGGGAAAGCTAGAATAGTTGACTCCACCTAAGGCTATGGAATAAATGATTTCTTATTGGCATGATGGCATTATATCAGAGCCACAGACATGATTTTCAGGGGCCATATGCTCTAGGCAAGGTGAAATAGACATTTGTTGTTGGTGCTTCCTCTATTTTTCCCTGTGTAACTTCTTCCCTCTTCTGGCTTCACTTTGCCTCAAAAAGAAATATATATATATATTCAAACTTGTCTAAAGGCTGGAGTGGAAGGTAGATTTTTATCCTGGCCTTCTCCATTTAAATATGCCCCCTCAAGTCCAGACTCATCTTGCCCTCCTATCTCAGTTCAGCTGTACTTAACTAGAAAAAGAAGGAAAATTATAGGCCCATTCAAATCTTTAGCTGCAATAGCTAGTGTGGGTCCATAGAATGAATTTACACACAATTTCTCCATTGGGAGAGTTTATAAAATTCTCATGAACTTGCAATTTGGCTAAAGTTCAAAGTGCCATTTTGAGTTTCAGTAGAAGATTATCAAGAATGTTATTTCAGAGCTGTCAAGCAAACTGTCAAACCGCTGTAATCACATGTTAATCGCAAATTTTCCAAACAATCAGATGAAAACCCAAGGGGAGGAGGATCTTTCTTAGTATCTGAATGTGTTACATTTTTATATGTCACAGTGCAGCAGAAAGCGTGAGGTTAAGATTAAGCAGAGATCCTGTGTTTCAGACATTTTCAGGCTGTCACCATCGCCAAGAATGGATTGGCTTTTCAGTAGTTTCAGGAGGAAGATGATACATGTATATTCACATACATTAATGCTGCTTGTGAGGGTTTGTAGACTGTCTTTCAGTCATGCCAGTCTGTGGTTACCTGTCTCAGGTACTAAACTGGGTCCTGACAGCAGACAGGGCATTCTTTCAAGCTCCGCCTTATTTCTCCCACATTCACCTGTCTCCTGGGAGGCAGAAGATGGGAAAGAAAAAAGGTATGTAATTCATTGTTTATGGTCAGAGATTAGATGTACTTCACTGCCTTACTTTGCCCACAGTTCCCCTCAAAAGCCTGCCCTTCCAGTAGTCTCCTAGAATGTTCACCCTGTGAACTTTGTGACAATTTCCACTCCTGGCCCAGCTTATGGAAAGAGGCTGATGCCTGACCCAAGGTTAGACCAGATCAGCCATCATTCACTGGACCAGTGACTGGACATCATTCAGGACCATTCCTGAAAATTTAATGAAGAAACATTGTGACAGTTGTCAGTCAGTGCTGGGCTCTGGACCTGAAAGAGCATGATAAGTTAGGGCTGGATCACTCATGTTGAATCTTGTGTGAAGTGAGAATCAGAGGAAGACAGCTGTAATAGAAGAATGAAGCAAATGTGTGGAGAGGAAAAGAGATAAGGGAGATCAAATGACTGAGATGTGGAAGGAATGACCTCAGTCCCTGAGTGTCTGATTGCCAGCTCTGGGAGTCTAAATCCCTGGGTCCCTTGAAATTGCTGTTTGTAGTCTCTACTACAAACCTTTCAAACCTTGAGGTTCCTTGGGTGGGTTTCTAGTCTGTGAATTGTTGATACTTGACTCAAGCACACAACTAAATGTATTATGCATCCACCAGGTTGTTTGATCCAGGTTATGTTTTGTGGTGTGCAGATTTTGGTTTTCAGCTTATAGGCACAGTTTAAACTCATCATTACCACCCCCATGACAAACCCAACATATCCTCTGGTGCCTTTGTATTATAGCAGTATCCAGGCATGAACACAAGGAAATTTTCCTTTTCTGAGATTCTGCTCGGGAATTACAGTCTCTCAAGCACAACTCTTTGTCTCCCTTGGCTATTTCTTGCCTGTCTCAGTCTTGACCAGTGGTTCCCAATCCTGGCTGCATGTCCAAATTACCTAGAAAGCTTTTTAAAACTACTGACTCCTGGATCTTTCACCCAGAAATTCATTTGATCTGGAGTGAGAACTTAGGCATCAAATTTCCTGAAGACTCTGATGGGAAACCAGGGTTGAGAACATTCATTTAAGTAATCATACAATCTCCTTGTGAGTTTAGCATGCAGTTTAGATTGGACTTTGGAATAGTTCTAATAAAGGAATTGTAGCAACAACCCAACTTCAAATCATTTGGTGTAATTTCATACTCAGGACACTAACCAATCCTCAGTAGACCTTTAATTTTCCACACATACAAGAACCACCTTTACGGCCCAAGACAAAGGCTGACATGTGGTCCCCTTTTGGCCCTGACGAACTCAATGGCTCCATCAAGGAGCTCTAAATTCTGGTTGCCCCAGAACCTCTGTTTTTCTGTAGCTTTCAGGTATTTTTCCTGTTCCTTCTTGTGGGTTCACAGCCACTTCCCAGGTGTGCCTTCTCATGGCCCAGATCTTTGCAAATCAATTATGTTTTAGAAAACCAGAGTTGAAGTCAGCCAAGCTGTCTAGACCTTATAAAACTAGGATGGAAAGACCCATACCAGCAATTCTGGCCTCTCTCTCTGAGCATCTACACAAATACACACACATTCCTTCCCCTTGGCTCTTAGAGACAAAAAATACAGTTTTCTACTGGGAAGTATAAGTCTGTTTGCTGGTATACAGATACTTGTGCTGACAGCTCAGGAAGAGAGCAGGTGCTTAGTGAGATATATGAAGCTGTTACTAAGATTATTGCTGAAAGAGGCAAGAATCACAAAGGGCCACTGAATACACTGTTTGGCCTAAACCAGGGTGTTGGGTGGAAATAATCTTTGGGAGACATATGCTGAGGCAAATAAATGATATTTAAAATATCTCCTTTTCTCTGCTTTCACCAGTCCACACGCTTTCCTCTCCCCATAAGGCATTAACGATGGATCATAATGTCCAAGGTACCTACTTTCTCAGCCTGTCCAAATACATCAGAGATGCTCCTGCTTCACGCCAGGTGAGCAGTCTTCACTTCAAAAGGCCATTACCCTGGGATCTCAGCATCACCTGATATTCCCACCAAATTTAGAAAAAGAGCAGACTACATTACTATCATTACCTGTCCATATGTTGCAGAACATTATGCAAGACAGTTGAAATGTTTTATTTAATTCAGTTGGTGAGAAGCACCTCTGTTTTTTGCATGAGAGAAAATCAGGAAAAATAATAACATTTAAAGACATATGTTTTGGTGGTCCAGTGACCAAGACTCCACGCTCCCAATACAGAAACCCCTGGTTGGATCCCTGGTACGGAAACTAGATCCCATGTGCTGCAACCAAGAGTTCACATGCGCACTGCAAGGAAGGTCAAAGGTCCCTCATGCAGCAATTAAGACATGGCACAACCAAATAAATATTTTTTTAAATAAACAAAATGCATGTTTTTGATTATATATATATATATTTTCATATATGATGAAAATAGCTATTAAGTTTTGTGGAGATAGGTGTAATCTTGCAACTTAGATTACCTGCTGGATATGAGAATGATAAAGTTGGGTCTATTGGTATATTTGAAAAGTAACAAGGAGACAGTCTTTTAATCTGCTGTGCCCTACATTTTCAGAGTGCTTTGAAGCTCACACAGCGGGTTCAAACTCATTTTCTCATTTTATTCCTTGAAACAATTACATGGAGTTTGGGGTTATTTTCTTTGAAGATTGGACAACTGAAGTTCAGAGAGGTGAAATAAGTTATCCAAGGGCACACAGAACACCAAGTGTTTTGTGCACAAGACATCAACAGCTTCACAGGAAAGCAAACAAACATGGACTCAAGGTGTGCAAAGGTATGTAGACTCCAAAACTCAAAGATGCTTTACCTTGGATAGGTGTAGCCAAAATGAGGTAGTTTATAACTTCAAAATTACTATGAAAAGCATTTATAGATGACTTTTTCTCTTTTATAAGCTGCTTTTTAAAATGTATTGTTAAAAAAACTAAAGGGAATTTTGAAAGAAAAATTTTCACCCATATTCCCATCAGCTAAAAAGGATTGCTTTCTCCACCCCAACAAGATTGTAAATTTCTTGAGGGGATACACAAGTTCTAATTAATCTTCCCATCAGTATGATCTGTCACAGAGGAAGTGTTCAATACATGCCTCATGAATGATTATTCCCAAAGCTTTTCCACATGCATATATATTTGATG